CATATTATTCAATTTCATGTGATCTACCAATCATCCTATATGCTACTTTCTTATGATAAGATGATCTTCAAAATCAGCCAATCATAATAAAGCCCGCTATGCTATATAGATGAGAGTAATTAAATTTTAAATGTATATAATTAAATTTATGTAGATAATAACGTGAGTGCAAATTTAGGTACTTCAAAAGTTTTTTGCGTAAAAGAAAAAACATAGATAGTAAAAAATATGAAATAACAAAAACTTTTTTGTTATAATAAAGAATACTAATTATATTGTAAGATACAAATGTTAACTTAGAAATGAAAACTGTCTTTTTCACAAAATATTGATCGCTATGTGTAGCAACTTGCAGATCCCTTATTAAATAAATTTTTGACATTGTACTTGATCGTTGTACGATATCCAACTCCAATCATTCTGTTGAGAAATAGAATAAAAATTATAAAAAAAATGCTGGTGTGCTTATGTCAGGAAATAATTAGCATGCCATTTTTCCCTTTATTTACTTCAAAATAAAATATCCACATTGTGAAGGAATTGGATGATTTGCTTGAATTATAGTAGCTTTATAATCATCTGGATCTTTTTTTTTTATTCAACCCTTTCCAGAAGGACGCCAGAGACCTTTAATTAAAAAGGTTGGTTTAATAGATTAAAAATTTACTTTAGTTAAACTACCAATGATTAGTCTCATTATTTTTCTGCGAGATTTCTCATCTTTATCTTACCACTTTAAGTCCACTTGAATCTATGTGATTTATCTTCAATATCCCATGCAGCCGGTAAACCAATATCATTTTACGAAGGTATTGATTTTAAATATTCTATAGAGTTAAATTTCTTTCAGGGCTTTTGTTTAAACGATTTACCCGATTTTGTACGTGAGCACAAAGTACTATTTATGCGTACGTATGCAGTATCTGTGTACTGTACATAGATCATGAAATTTGGTTTGTCGGAAGCAAATGGTTGGCTGCGGCACATTTCAGCCAACCATTTGTTAAATTTTATGATATCGATGTTATCGTGACAATTATGATCATGATTTACAAGTCATCATTGGCTAACTGAGTTTTAATTCGAGATTGTTGTACAAAAAATAACAAGAAAAAAATCTATGATCATAAGAGTTTGCACGATAACTCATCAGTTGACAGAAGAATATTAGCATTGATAATGAAAGATTGCTACGAATAATAAATATACACATATTGGTTATAATAATAGAAATTAAGGTTAGCTTCTAAAGATGATAAGGTAAATTGATATCACTTTAAATGCTATTGATAAGACTGTTACCTATTCGAAATAGAAGAATGAAATTTCTAACATAATAAAAGGTTTACTATTTTATAAACATTTATTTTAAAAACACAAAACTAACTCTACAACATTAAAACTTTAAATGCTAGAAAATATTAAATTAATTTTACACGTATTTTTAATTGCACAACAAAATTAGATTTCGATATCCAAAATCAATAATACTACATAATCAATATTCGGATATAAAAACTAAATAGTACTGTTACACCAAAAATACCGCTTACAAGTTTGATGCAACGGATTTACTCTAGCGACGAGTATTGTATGCGAATTAATGACAAACACCGAGTATATGCTAAAATAAAAACATCAGCAGTTACGCGTTGCAGAGGATTTATGTGATTTGCTTTTACGAAAGAGGCATACGCTAAATGCGTATGAAGATACAAGTAGTCGTAATAATAGGGGTTTACTCTTTATTAGATTGATAGGAATGAGTCAAAACTATCGATTCAGGGGCAACAGGGCTATTTATACATAATTTACTCAGTTATCGGGTTATCTTCTATGTTATTTATTACCAGGGTTGTTGGTTTACCGTAAATTTACCAGGCTGTTCGGTAAATTACCGGTAAATTTACCATTAGTAATTCTTAAGAAGGGTTATGTAATATAAAATCATGTGATTTGATGATTAAAATTTTTTTTTTTTGGCCAATCAAATTACATAGACAAACTCAACCTTAGGTATATAAAGGTAAATTTACCACATCTTTGGTAAATTACCTGGTAAATTACCGTAATTTTACCATGGTAATTTTACCACCTGCAACCCTGTTTATTACACATTCATATTCTTTCACACTAATCCTTCTCTCCAATCCTTCTCTCTAATATCTTTTGTTTATATTAGGTTGCTTCTTTTCTATGCAATTATCTATAAGCAACTAATTAGAACCAGTAATCATGTATTTTACCAGCAACGATTTATAGTTTTATGTTCATCAACGTTATCAATTCGTTCTGGAAGGCCTATGTGAGATAAAGTACAGCTTTTTAGTGCTAATTTCATTTAAGTAATCAAAGTAGTTTATCTAGTTTCCTTTGAATATGGATCTAATTCGTGTGTGAAGTATTGAACAATTATACGTAGCTTACGCGTCAATTTCTGGTCGTATAAATAACTATATAAGGTAATAAAACGTTCTATTTATGAAGAATATAAAACAGGCAATAACAGGTTTGAAACAGTGAAGTTTATGGGACGTACGTTCGTAATTACGCAAATCACATGATCTTACGAACATAAAATTTCTGCACTTTGAGTGTTCTATTAGGTCTAACAGTACGTATATACGTACGTACGTACATAGATGTTTTACTGCAGAAATTCGGTTGTAGTTTAATGTCAATGTCAGTCAGACGATCAACTAGTGTTCCCAAAATGGATCCGAACCGGATCAGAGCAACGGTTTCTGGTCCATAATTTTTTAGAACCGACCAACTCCGGGACCAGTTGACGGTTACCCGATGGCAGGATTGGCACATTTATCCATTGGGACGAATGGAGAACAACTCCATTGACATTGCTTCATTGCTCCATTGAGAATAATTTCCGAATGGAGCCAATGGAAGCCAACAAACTCCATTGACATTGCCTGTTTATCATCAGGTCGAACTATTAGTATATGAGGCTGGAAATTAGAACCCTATTCTTCATCTGCTTCGTTAGATATTTCTATTGGTGTCATTATCTCCACTGGGTTCTCCACTGGCTCTATTAGGTTTTCCATTCGTATCATTGGCTCCATTCACTCCATTGCTCCATTGGGCTCCATTTGCTCCATTGGTAATTTTCTCAATGGAGTATATCCATTGCCAACCTTGCCCGATGGATCCACCTATGTTCAATCGTCTGTTCTTCAACGAATAGAATAATAAAATTTTAGATATCAGCGATTAAGTAAGCTTACATAAAAAAAAAAAAAAACGGTGAGCTGATGAATTTGTAAAATTTGATTTGACTACAATCGTTTCACCGACAACTCATTTAACGCAACCAATCAGATGCTAACTCTACAAGACGTCAACTAAATGAACTTTCGGTATAATAATAATTGCTGGTAAAGTGTGCAGTACCAAATTATTCAAGGTTCACATCCAAATTATAGTTTAAGTAGACCTTTGATAGGCTCTAGATTTGAGCATAAGGCTGTTGTTATGTTATATTTAACATCAGGTCAGTTCCGGATCCAATATGGTATAGAGCTTTGGAATCAACCGTGTGTATTATTATGAGTACGAATCCTACTGGAATCAGACTGTACGGAATACTACAATCAACGTTGTTACCAGTAGGTGATAATCATGAGTTGTAATTTACGTATTTAGCATAAAAAAGCATTTATTCAAGATGAATATAAATGCATAAATATTTATCGGTAATCATGTCTTTAAGGATGCCTTAATAAAGAGGGAGGATTAAGAGATGTCTTAAAGCTATTTGTTAATAATCTATACACGCTCTTAGCATATATTTATTACCATCAAGGCTAAACTACGCATATATGTGAATTGCTCTCTCAACCTGGATAGTACCATTTAGTGCCGATTGTGTGAAGTTGAAACTACATTCCCATATGACTGATTTTGACCTCCATCTTCATTTAACTAACCTTCATAACAGGTATCACTGAATTTTTTCTGACAATCTAAATATTATTGATTATTTTTTCAACAAAATTTCTCCTGCTCTATTTGCTATCCCATCATTAAACAGCCTTTGTTTATTCCTCACCTTTATTAATCGGTATAAGCTAGTTTACTATATTATTAGCTATTTCCAAGCTACTATTTGCTTATTTGAACATCTTCACAATTATTCTGTTGATAACCTTCCTAATATCTTCTAAGAAATCATATTTTTAGTTTTAAATATCTAGCAAACCCATAACTACAATTAGAATAATTAATTTAACTTAAACCCCATTGACTCTCAAAAAAAAAGCTGCTGGTAACAGAATTGAAGAGTTTACATCTAATATAAAAATTTAATTGAATTTGGTGAAGACTCAGATGAAAATACTGTAACTGGAGCCTCTGGTACGTAATAATATAGCATCAAAAGAATTGTAAATATCATGTGAACAAGCTCAAGCTTTTAACTACCCAAATCAGTAATCTTGTGAATCAAATTAATCATGCACCTACTCTCAAGAGTAAATAAAAAGTGACATCAGGATTTATAATGTATGTAACTAATTGGAGTATATTATTACACCTCGCATATTAGATACTTTATTTAATAGAGTAACGTATATTTTATTATAACTGTAAATACAATATCGAATTGAATTTTGTCAAGTAATGACCTTTAGATAAATCTAGCTTACCCAATCTAACCTTAGTCAATAACTAACCAATAAGAACTCACAATCATTAAATTGCACTTCAGAAATAATTTCATGTTTTAAAAAGAAAAATAAGTACTTTTTTTATCATTAATAATTAAAATATCAAAATATTATATGTACTATATATATGTATACTCTTGAGAAACCACGCTAAAAAAAATACCTATATATATAAAAATTAATTCTTGATTAATAGTAGTAATAATAATCAAAAGGTTATCGTGTCGTAAATATATTAGTGTAAAAACTGGCATAGATTGAAGTATATTAGTAATAGGTCAAATTTTTTTTAAAAAAAAACATTATTAAAAAAATTGCTCACTCTGTTATTGGTAGACTAGTTTTATATTTATTATACATTTCATCTATGAATTGTCGTCTCACGGCATATCTATTAATAAAAGTCCAAATTAAACGATAATAATCGCAATTTGAAGTTAAAATGGCACGATAAATAGTACATACGGTTGCCTTATCCGAGTCTCTGTAAGATTCCGACATGCATCATGAGCTGATATAGCAGTATTCCGTACAAGTGAGCCAATAGTATGTCGGCTCACTATCATACCATCAACTAATGGGCCAAACGTCTAAAAAGATATTTATATATATTATTTAGATGAAGCACTAAAAATAAAATAGATATAATATGTATTTACCAGGTGATTTTCATTTAATTTTGATGCATCGGTATTCCAATTGACTCTTGCTTTTCCTGCTTTCTTTTCGTTATTAAGCCCAGATCCAATACCAGTAGAGCTTGAATACGGTACGGCGGGTGTAATTATTCTTATCCAATATAGTCCTGTCGCGTTTTGTAATGGATGTACAAATATGTACACAAATGCAGGTTGACCAATTTTTGATGGTGCACTGTGCATTGATAAAACGTCATCAATCCATACTATGCAAACTAAATCATCAGCAAAAATGTTTTTGAAAAAGTTTGATAATGAATTCGATGATGAATCTGTGCTCGGTGTTTTAATAAGGTATGGAACATTGAATATAACTTCAACTGATCTGTCTGCAAAGTATGGAGCCACTTTACAGATTGATGAATCTAATTTTGCTTTGTAGCCTGAATGTGTGTCTAACGAAACCTAATGAACATAGTAACATGTTAGTGATATAGTTAACAATTTGAAAAATTTCCAATTTTTTAAAAGATAAGTTTACCGGCCACCCTAAGCTGTTTAAAAATCTTTCAAAATCTTCACTTATGGAAGGTGGATTTATTATATGGTCAAAATCATCAGCTTCTGATTGGATATAGTAAACTGATACACTAAGGCAGTTACGCCTATAATGAAAAGAAAATTATTTTGACAAAGTTAATTAATAAGCAAAAAAAAAAATTTTTTAAAAAAAAAATTCATCGTGAATAAATAATTAATAATATTACTCATTTAATAAATCCAATCTTTCAAGATCACTGATAAGCTTCTCGGATATTTGCAATGGTATTACACGATGTCTATTTTCTAAAGATATCAAGCCCATATGAGACATAAATAACCGAAACACTTGTGGGCTAAAATGTATCAATCATAACAAGATAATTAATAAATTATAGTAATTATAGTGGAAAAGGTTCTATACTCATGAGTCCTACCTTTCGAGATTAGAGTTCGAGGTAGCAGGGGTGGCTTTATAACTGAAACAATACACAAGTTGATTCCAATTGATAAAAAATCAAATTTAACAAAGATTATTCACTAATAAGACAACTTACCTTTGATGGTCAAACTTGACGTGCCTCCTTTCTTCAAAAGCTTGTTCTTCAATTTCCTTTTGTCTCTGCGTTAATTTTTTGACTCCACAATAAGCTTTCCAGCTATCACATCCAGCTTCAAAAATGTTATCGACGGTAGGTATTTGATCATCGTTAAAACAAACAACCCGTTGAATAAAAGATTGATCTTTAGTTCCTTGTTGATCATAAAGAAAGTGCGGAGGTGTTTCTGTTCGTAAAATTGGAATTGATTGTAAAGGAGATAATAACGTTGGCTCATGAAATTCTTTATCAATTTCCGGTGATAGAGGACGAATTTTGCTATTGTCTCCAATAGATGGTTTATAACACATGTGTGATTCCCATGAGTATCTTCCAGTACTATCCCGCATAACTATAATGACAGATGGACAGTCTTCGATTTCATCCAATTCTTTTTGAGTATATATTTGTGGTGTTGGAGCCTTTGGAGTTCCCGGGGATGAAACAGGAGTTCCTGCCTCAACGGGTGTTTCAAAATTGTCAGATGCAGCCAAAGAATGTGAATCTTTATTAATTATCCATAATGGATGCTTTGGTATTTCCACAAAACCTATCACAACTCGACCATCAATTAAAAAATATCGAACCAATTCAGGAATGGATCTTGCATTCGAATCTGCGATCCGTGCTTTTGCAAGTAACAAGTCATCATTGAAAAGAGTTGAGATTCTGCTTGGTCCAATATGATCACTCCATGCAGGGAAATTTCCTAAATGATTTACAAATTGGGACATTGCGATTTCGGCAGCAAGTTTAACAGCCATTTCTCCCTTTTTCCCATAACGATTTTGACCACCAGCATGTAATGCGCTTTCGCTACTAGTTGTAGACATTTTATTACCTCGTGTAGCAAAAAGTTTATTAGGAATTGGATCTTTGCGATTCTTTTTCTTATCAGCAGGAGAACTTTGATGTGCATTTTCATCATCATTATTTGGAATTATTGAAATGCCTTTACTAATTGTTGATATCACAGCTTCATGACAATCACGATCACCAACTATCCATTGACCGATTAGTATCCAACGCATCATACAATCATAAGCTTTTTCGACTAAATTAAATGTTATCGACTAGTTATATAGTGAAACAACATGGGTTCAATAATGAATAGCAAAAAAGAACATACCCGTACAAATCACAAAAAAAAGTTACATAAATAACGATTAATAAATCCTTACCAATCCACCATATGCACCTGAAAGCATCGTATCAATATAACGGCAAAATTCCAAAACCAATTCTCTAGCACAATTCTAAAAAGTTTGAAATTATTAAATCAATATATTAAATCCTTTAATAAAATGACGTAACAGAAAACAACAATAATAATAATAAATTATTACGTACCTTGCTGTCCCGTTGGACATATTCATACAATCCAACAAAGTCCTTAAGAACGTCAAAGGCATATAAAGTTACATCAGAAGGAAGATTCATAGTCAAAACCTAAAAATAAAATCGAATAATTTAGATAAATGCAAAAATGAAACGAAAATTCACACACTTTTTAGTAAATACCTTTTCTTGAATAGATTTTACTACGAGACTAACTAATCCAGGACAAAACGCTACATCTTCAACCACGTAAACATTTATTAAATGAAGAAGATATCGAAGATTATAATTTGATTTTTCCGTTTTTAATGATTTAAGGAGAAGTTCCAGTATGTAAAACTTTAACTAAAAAATCCATATAAACGAGATTATTATTATGAAGAAATAGCAGATAATTAAAAAAAAAATAAAATCAAAAAACAATAATCAAAGCTTACAGCCGTAAAAGGTTCAGGTTTCTTTTCTTTTTTAGATATATCACCCTCATCTTCAGAATATAGCACACGCATCTATCAGAAAAAAAATTAAAAGGTTATCGTCATAAAAAAAATTAAGGTTATCATCATAAAAAATAATTAAAAATTAACTTACAAGTTCGTTAACCATAATTTCATCATCGTTACTGACAAGCTTATCCCCATTTTGATGCATTCCAAAATTCCAATTCTCTCTCATAGGTACTTTTTCAAAATGATTTGGTAAACACATAATAGTACTAGCAACTCTTATAGCTGCAAGTCTTAAATCTTCTAATGGTACATCAATTTTAAATCCTGGAGCCAATTTTGGTAAAACCATTCTAATTCCAACGACAAAATCAGGTACCATCATTCTTACACCTTCTAAATCAGTAGCGAAAAGTGAAGCTGTATTTATTAATATAGTAGGTAAACAACTATCAACACGTAAACCTTCTATTAAAGCAAGGTAAAATTGCGTAACATAATTTCGTAAAAATTTTTCACGTTTCTGAGGTAAACAAAATATTCTACAAAGAATACCAAAAGCAGCAGCTCTACCAAGTTGAGTACCAGCATCAGGTCTACTCATCATACAAGATTGAAATAACCAAGGACCAAACATATTTAAAATAGTATTTCCATCAGGTATAGCAAAAAAAAGGGTAACCAGTATCTTGATGAATATCTTGTTGAGAAAATTTATGAAAATTTTGATGAACAATTAATTGAAAAGCTTCAATAATTTTACCAATTCCCGAAATTGCCGAAGAAAAATTAGAAGAAGGTAAGGTACATGGATTATTTATTAAATAAACCATTCGATGCCAAGCAAAATAAACAAAATCAGTTGGAAGATCTAACCCAACATTATAACCACCAACAGAAACGTTAACCATATCAGCACCTTCTTTTGGACCATATAATAATCTAACAACACGTTGAGTTAAAGCCAAAGTAGTAGCATTCCATTGTAAAATAGCTTGATGTCTATGAGTCCATTGATTAAAACATTTTTTAAAAATATTCCACATTTCAACTTTACGAATTCTTGATCTTAACCATAATTCAAAAAGTACTCTTAATAAATGTTCACATAAATCATCAGCCATAATCATAGCAGTTTTTTTATCCATATTTAATTCAGAAGAATTCATAGTAGAAATAGGTTCGTGAAGTAAACAATCAGTTATTCCTAATACAACCTTTAAAAGTACGAGCCAAGTTTCTTCTGAAAATTGAGGACCTAAAGTACGACCAGCCATAGTTAAAACGATTAATACACCTTTACATAATTCAATATGATTTTGTAAATGTGTACAATTTGTTGTCATTTGATTACTACTGGAAGGAAATCCCGGAGTTGTAGGTGTTGAAGTATTAGAAGGAGTAGTTTGATAACGAGGTTGAAATAATAAAGAATAATGATGAAATATTATCTAAAAAATAAAATAAAAATATATATATATTTTTTTGTAATATTAGTAATTTTAAATATATACATATATAATTTATATATAATTTATATATAACTTATATAACTTAAATAATAAACA